ACGAACGTGTTATTGGCGACACATTGTTAGATCCCTGTGCTCGGGCACCTCCAACTTGCCCCTTGTATAGTCTATTAGTCGGAATACGGTAAGGGCTGAGAAAAGTCACCAGCCTTCCGCAGGGTCTTTGCTTGAGCCCACCCCGCCCCGTGCTCCCCAACCCACCCTAACCACCCCTTGCCGTGCCGGGGTTTCTTGCACAAGTACCGGTATTCATATCCCGTTTCTTTCTTCTCATCTAAAATGAGGGCCATCACCATGTCTCGAACTTCCTTGTCTGGCTTTCTCGAATAATTGGAACATATTCCCGCCTGTCTCATTGCTGTCAAACTTATCCAACCCCATAGGAACTCGAGCCCAAACTGTGCACGGATAAGCTAAATCCTGATAGTTCCATTCGCTCGTTCGGCGAGAGGGTGGGTTTTTACTAGGATAGTCCTTCCTGCCATCCCTAGTGGTAGTGTTGAACTGCACAAAGGGGAAGAGCTCAAGGTGCAGCATACGGATGAACATACCAGCTTTTGGTTGAGGGGGAGTGATATCCGTTGGACGGCTCTCCAGTGTGATCATCCCGGTAGACCTTGGAGGAGATTTTGGATATATATGTGAACTTGCAGGCATGGAATCATGAAATTCTTCGCCACTCACCTGACTCTATGGTAAAACTAATAAATGAACGCCCTCTCGTACTGTAACATATTCCCAGATCGTTCCGAACGCTCCAACCCGGAGCCACAGTCCGCTGTATCAAGTTTTCATTGGGCTCCTCCTGTTTCCCAGCCCTCTCCAGCCCGCGATTCATTTTTCTATTTTACTCATGTTGCATCGAATATAGCATACAGCACTCTCTTTCGAATTGCGGTTGGATCAAGAGACACTAGGGCGATGGCCCCAAATAGCGCTAGACACATACGGTGTCGTACTTATATGACGGATTAGGAGAGCCCCGCCAAAGGAAAGTTAGCGATCGCCAGAAAATGTCGCTCGCCCTGCGATCAAGGGGATCGTTCACAGTTTCGACTCGATTAGGCAGGAAGCACCGGGCCCTTCCCCAAGGTTTCAGGCCCCAGATTTTGCCATTGCGCCATCTCCATTTCCCTATTTTTCCGAAGTTCCGGTGCCAACCGAGTTCAATCAAGAAACTTAGAGGACTCCCTTTGGCGGCTCTCCTTTTATTCCCTTTCGTCTTTGGCACTGCGCAGCGCAGTCCCTTTCTATTATGACATGTTGGAATGTTCCCGCTAGGCGAACCCGCACTAGGTTAACTAGAGGATTTTCTCACTCTATCGGAAGGAAAAACAGCGAGGACAGGGGAAAGGGAGAGAAATACCAAAGCTAGCGGGGAACACCTCGCTCTCCAGAAAGCTCGCAGGCGAAAATTCTCCACCCAGTCACTGGCCGATTTTAGCCACATGAAAACATTTAGGTCCCCTAGTGTGAGAGGGAAGGGATGCGTTTAATCACTAGCATACACCCAACCCGCAGGAGAGCAACCGGGGTTGTTTGGAGCGAGAGACAGCAGGGGAGGCCTGGAGCCCTGTTAGGGATCCCCTCCCCAACGCAGCTTCTGGAGACGGGTAGCACTATCAGGCTGCCTAGCCAATTTGTTAGTGCTTCTTGTGTGCGTTTTTTATCACCGCGGATACTAGTCCATCCCCAGATTCCCACCTCTATCACAACCAGCCGCCTACCATCGGCGGGGCTATAAGTGCGCAAGTCATAGCGGTCGGAGGGGCCGGGGCTGGGACATTCTCCCTTCCTCTCCCATCAGTGGCTTTTCATCACCATACGGCCCCTCTCCACATTGATTGTCCCCTTTAGAGTAGAGCTCTTTTCCTAACGCCCAGGATTCCCTCGGCCTGAGGGCAAAAGGCGCAGGAAGGATGCGCCAGCGGGATGCCGTATAGAGTCTGTGATTCTTCCATCACTAATTTCCGCTTTGTACTCTTGACGCTGCTCAGTTTGGCGGGTAGGCATCCCGACTGTTGCTGTCCCTGAAATTTTTGTACGATAGCATACCGGTCTCCCTAACTATGCTCGAGGGGATCTAACCGGCCCCCCGGCCAGGGTACCTCCACTCCCATTGGGTGGCCCACAACTTTTTTTGCGAGAGACCTTGACCGGTGCGGGTGGCTCTACTTTGTTGTATGATACTAGGGTATACGCGCAATAAAGACCTAGATTAACGCTGAATCGCTCGCGGGGTACGACATGCCCTGTCCGTCCCTCGTTAACCACAACACGCACTGAGACCCTCTCTTGCGTTTTGCTTCCTCCCATCCGCTGGTATGCTGTTCCCAAGGGGTAGGACATACCGTCATCTTTCGTATATGCAAGAGAGATATTGGTGATCTGGCTGGGGACCACACGGGAGAGAAAAGCACAAGGAAGTGTGACGGAGATTCAACGACACTACCCTAAAGTACTCGAGTAGTGGGAAGAACCAATTACGATTGTAAGCACATACCGGTAGTCGATCCCCCCCCTCTGTGTTACCATTGGTAAGGCGCTAGAGTACTCGAGTACGGTAAATTGTGGAGTGGGAATACAGTCGCACCTCTCTATCCCGGACGACCTAAACCCGAAGAAACTGTCCGGTACAGTACAACGAGTGATCCGGGACAACGGGTCCAGCCTTGGTGTGAAAAAAATTTGAATTCGCAGAATCCCATACGGGACAGCAAGGTATCCGTATTATAGAATTCCGATACAGCTAGGTTCGACCGTACACGTATAGAACCTAGGAGCCTTGACAGAGACCGGAACGGAGAAGCAACAATACAATTCTTTCGATGCTGTCGACCGAGCAGAGGCAACTCGTACAGCACTGTACAACGCCTCTTGCAATCTTTTCATCTCAACTTCCAAGCGCGGACAAAGCTGATGGGCGAGCACCTTTGATACGGGACTATGCTATTATTCTTATTGGGAAGGGGGGGTCTGCTTTTTTTTTTTTTTTTTTTCTTCACCCGCCGGCTACAGCGCCAGCAGTTCGAAGTGTAGACTACTCGAGTACAGTACAGTGGAGTATGACACACTCACGAGGAAAACCCAGGAGCTAGTGTAGGATATCACATCTATTGTTCAAAGTTCGACCTCGGTGAAAGGATTTTTCCTTCTGACTACTACACATTCTCTCCCTCTCTTTTTCTTTTTTTTTGTTCCTTCCCCTCCTGTAGGTACCGTACTCATACTCGGACATTCTGACATTCTGAAAGGAAAAAAAAAAATAGGAAGGGCGAGAGCACAGTGTTTACTACAGTATACCTTAGCCCCTGCCGTGCTGTACTCGTACTGTACTGTACCTATCGCGCGGAAGGAGGCTGCAAGCCCGATCACCCAATAATCCCGTTCCTTTGTACTCCGAGCGTTCGGGTCAGAGAGGAGGCTCGGTTTGCTCGCACTCCGGCACATACATATGATTTTCTAGGTAGAACTAAATTTATTGGTTTTTTTTTTTTTTTTTTTCCTTTTCTTCTCTTCCCTTAAATCCATCGGTACCGTGCTGTACTGTGCTACGAGTAGTATGTACGAGTACTAATCCACCCCGGCCAGGGTTGCGTACTTGCACTGTACGAGTACAGTAGTTTTTTTTTTTCTATAATTGCTTTTTGAAGATCGGTAAGGAATGAGCGAGCGAAATTTTGGTGCCTCCCTCTACCGGTATTTATTTCAGTTCCATTGCATTTTTGCTCTGTTTTACGCTCTTATATATATATATATTTATTTTTTCCCTCCCCCATCCAGCCCTGTCTGCTGCATCGCAGCAACTTCCCTGTAGATAGTTCCCTGCACGTGTGAATTCCGTACAGTACTGTACGAGTACGTCTGCGTTCGGGACGACATATACCCCCTATCCTTTTCCCACTTGCCTGCCATTCCTTCCTTTCACCCCGGCATGTGTGTGTACTGTACCTTTGAGAGAAAAGTGCAGCGCGTAGAGGACTGTACCGTACGTGTTCTACCGGTACTCTACTATCTCTCTCTCTTTTTTTTTCCCTATCCCCTCCCCCTTTTCCCCTCTTTCCCTCTGGCGATTCCTTATTACTTGTTTCCCCCCCACCGGTACCGGCACTCTTTATTTACTCCTCCAACCTTTCCTAGTTGCTGGCCAAACCTGGCACCCCCGAACCCTAACCCGTTCCATGCATTGGGGTGCTACCTGGCTGATGCAGTGCCGCTGCCCCTCCTCCCACTCCTTTCTACTGCTATCCCACCTGGGTTGAGTGAAGAGAGACTGGCCCTCGAGCCATAGAAGGGGAGGCACTCGCTGTCGGCAGCTGTTGTCCCCCCCTCAAACTACCCCCTCCCCGCCCTACCGCTGTTTGCCTTCGAGGACTTGCTGCCATAGGTCTGGTGCTTGATCGTCCTTGATTGGGAGGAGGTGACAAGTGGAATTAGTGAATTAGTGAATCCGAGACCCGGTATTTAGATACACTGGCGGACTCGGTCGACCGCTCTCCAGTATTCCATTGCAACAAACACCAAAGTACCCACGGTATAACTGATATAGGTATCCCAGCGTGAAGTTAGCCACACCGCATTGCATCAGCACCCAGAACACCTAATTGTTGTCTTCTTCTTTCCCTCTCTGGCACCTCCTTCACACCCTTCAACTCCACAGGATATCTTCCACCCATACCCCCCCGCCCTTCTCTTTCTTTTCCTTCCACCCCCCCCCTCCTCCAAAAAAAAAAGCCGGTCCCTCCCGTGCCGGTTTTCATTTCATCTCATCCATTCGTTCACTCATTAATTCCTTTCCCGCCCGCCTTTCTTCTCCTCGTCAACGGGATCTCCAACCTGCCCTCTTGAACTCCCTCCGGACTGTCGCTCTGTCGGTGTTTTAAAGGAATCGACGGAATATACATCTCCTTCCGATCTCGTCGCCGCTAACCCCAGTTGACCACTTTTTTAGCTGATCCATATATTTCCTCCATTCGGCCATTTCATTTCCCCATTTCCCCACCGATCACACATTCCAGATGATGCTCTCTCAGGCAATGCATCAGTACGCTCCTAGCTCCCACTTTCAGTCGTTGCCGTCCTCAAACGGCGACGTTGACCCATCAACGGGCATGCCGCATTCCTCGGCATCAGCCGCCCAAAAAGCAACAAAACAGGCACGTCATCACCCTTACCATTCGCCCCAAAACAACGTTGGGAGAATTAATGGAATAGGGCAGATGAACGGGTCAACACTGGGTCCTATCCGGAGAAGAATTAGTCGAGCATGCGATCAGTGCAACCAGTTACGAACTAAATGTGATGGGAAATTGCCCTGCCAACATTGTCTCGGTAAGACCCATACCATCGTAACTCGCTATTCTTACGGGGGTTCCTTTTTTTGGGGGGGGGTTTTTTGAAAACCCTTGGCTAAAGTTGTTCGATAGATTTTACATTAAAGTGCGAGTATGCCCGAGAGAGAAAGAAGCGTGGAAAGGCTTCACGAAAGGATATCCAACAGGCGGCGGCGGCGGCGGCTGCTGCTGCCCAGCAGAATGGCATGGTGAATGGTAATACCTCGCCAACGGATCAGATGCGTGCCCTCAATGGGGTTTCACGGTCATCAGATCTTCCTCCGCCCCCTCGTCCTGGAATGGTTAGGAAACCGTCCTCTTCCGCTGCCAGTACCAGGACATCCCTTGGAGATCTTCACGACCTGTCCCAACACCAGATCCACCACCATCACCTGCCTGCTCAACATCAGCATCACCACCATCATCACCTTCCTACACCAGATTCCCCATCTCTGCAGCTGAGCCATGAAGGCGTTCCCGCCGGTATGCCCATACACTTTGACAGAATGTCTCCATTCCAGCATCAGTCACCCAACGGTGTCGGGGTCGGCGCCGCTCCACGGATGCTCCCTAACCCATCCACTCATGGCGGCATGTCCCAACCAGGGTCTACTACAACCAACGGCTTCCCCGCAAACGAGTTTGTCCTCTCCCCACAGCATCAAACACACCCAATGAACTTTCCTCAAAATGCCTCCTCACCACTATCTGGATTCCTTGGCGACCACTCCCCAGAAGACGGGTCGCCATCTTGGCTCTCTCTGCCCTCTCCCCCAAGCCCAGCCTTCTCCGCCGGTGTCAGGTACCCGGTCCTCCTTCCTCTACTTCCTCATGTCAATACCATAATACCACCAATTCTTGCATGCGACTTGTTAGATCTATATTTCACCAACCCAACAACAGCCCTATTTCAGCCCGCTTCCCCATATGTATTGACTCACATTCTCCGTAAACAATCGGTATTGCACCCGACAAATCCTCGACCTACATCTCCGGCACTACTGTGCGCCATGCTGTGGGTCGCTGCGCAGACCTGTGATGCGCCATTTTTGAGTGCATCGCCCGCTGCGCGAGGTCGAGTTTGCCAGAAACTACTGGAGTTGTGTATCAGTCTTTTAAGACCCTTAGTGCATATTGCATTCACACCATCATCTCAGCACTCGCACGGCCACCACGGGTCCTCCGCGGACTCCGAAAATGGATCTGTTGGTATTGGCCTTGGGGGTTTAGGTGGCGGCCCTGCGGGCTCAACAGGTGGCAGGGAGGGTGCTGGGGCAGCGGGAACTCTGGACGATGTCCTGACATATGCACACCTTGGCATTGTCATCTCTGCAAGTGAGTTCAAGAGCGCATCTCTTAGGTGGTGGCACGCAGCCTGGACTCTTGCCCGGGAATTGAAGCTTAATCGCGAGGTTCCCCACGAGAGCATAATCGAACAAATGGGTGATGATGATCTAGATGGGCATCACTCACCGAGCGATACCGGCCCAGGCAGTGTACACTCCCACTCCTCAGCTGCAGAAGGCGCAGTAGGACGAGTAGAAATGGGAGAGGAGGAGCGGGAAGAGAGGAGAAGAACATGGTGGCTGCTTTATATTGTCGATAGGCATCTGGCCCTTTGCTACAACAGGCCTCTTGCCCTGCTCGACATTGATTGTGAAAGTCTCTATCTCCCCATCGATGATGCATCTTGGCAGAATGGGGATTTTTTCGGAGCTCACGAGCCCCACAATCTCTATGCCCAGAACCCCGTCTCCCCAACCAACACTGGTCACTCGCAACAGCTCCACCGACAGACAGGTCCAGTTTTTGAAATAACAGGTACAGGATTATTTGAGTTTTTTTTACCGCTTATGACGATTCTGGGGGAGGTGGTGGACTTGCACCATGCGAGGAATCGTCCGAGGTTTGGTACGGTGAGGCAAGCCGGGACTGAGGGGGCTGCTCTATTTGGGGAGGGGGACGAAGTGCTTGTGCAACAAATCACGCAGCAGCTCGGCACGTATGCTAGGAGTTTGCAGCAGTACGAAGCGGCACATCTTCGGCCTGAGTTGAAGGATGGTCAAGGAGGTGACGGGAAGTTGACTGAGTCGGACATCCAAACTAAGATTGTGGTTTCCTACGGAACCCATGTCATGCACGTCCTACATATTCTCCTTTCCGGAAAATGGGACCCAATTAGCATGCTAGATGACGATGACCTCTGGATCTCATCTCAATCTTTCATCAGTTCAACAACTCACGCAGTCTCAGCAGCAGAGGCCATCTCGAACGTCCTCAAGTACGATCCTGATTTGAGCTTCATGCCCTACTTTTTCGGTATCTATCTCCTCCAGGGTAGCTTCCTACTACTCCTCATTGCGGACAAACTACAGGGGGAGGCATCCAGCGCTGTAGTCACTGCATGCGAGACAATTGTGCGGGCACACGAAATATGCGTTGTTACGCTCAACACCGAATATCAGGTACAGATTGCTCCTTAACATCCGTGTGTTTCTGGAAGCGGCCTTCTGACTGAAATAGCAGAGGAATTTCCGGAAAGTTATGCGAAGCGCTTTGAGCCAGGTCCGCGGCTGTGGAGCACCTGAGGACATGGAAGACCAGAAACTCAAGAGGAGGGAGGTGCTGCAACTTTATCGATGGTGTGGAGACGGCTCTGGGCTGGCTTTGTGATTTGGGAAACATGAGATCAAGGATCATGTTTCATGTTTCATCTGTACGACGAAAGCTTTTTCTTAGATGTACAAAACGATGGGGGCGTAAGGGGAACAAAGCCCCAAAAGCGATATCCGGTATGGGAAATTTCCCGGCTGAGTCCAGAAAGTTATAATTCCCGGGAAAATCTAGGTATCTTTCATGGCATCACTATTTTGTCTTAAATTATCATTATTTCTGTTTTCCACACATCATCTTTGTCGGTGTTCTTGCTCTGATTTCCTTTGGTATAGTTATTGGCGTTTCTCAGTTGCCGGCTGCTTGCTCAACCTGCCTGCTGAAATGGGTGGCATTGTGGATTTACAATTTTCTTGTTATTTATTGTCCGTTCACTTCTTTTTTTTTTCCCACCGCGAAAGCCGAAAATACGGATTCAGTGGGAGGGGCCTCATTTCCTCGTCTTGTTGGGGCTCTTATTTTCTTCACTCCTCTCCTCACCAAGTTATGTTGACCCTTTCTTTTCTCCACGTACTCCTCTCATCCTAGTCGGCGTCACTCACTTCTTAATTCAGCGACGTGCTGCTGTGGGGCAGGCCAAGAAAGAAGTGAGGGATAGGAAGATGAAACCACAAAAAATTGGATACCCAATCATATTTAGCAAATAATAAAGCTATAAGCTTTTTTTCCACTATTGCCATGCCTTATAGTACACTATCCGTTCTTATCTGGTGATGAACTCGACCTATCATAACGTATAAAAACATACCACATCCGAATACCATATTGTCCGAGCCGAGTCGGGTCGAATCTAATCTCGATTTCGCTCGCCATGCAAAGCTAATCATTCGTGACCTCGTGCATTGCAGTGGATGGATCTGCTTGTATCACTTTCTTCTATAATACGAAGTTACGTGCTCTCCATCAATGCACGTCCTCCTCCATGTAACCTTAACTTACCCCAGCTTTGAGACCATGTTGCAAGAAGGCAAACTCCAAGACTTGCATCTTCCCCCCTCCATTCCCACCCACCGAAAAAAGGAAGGAATTTCAAAGAAGAGAAAATACGCCTTATCGATTGCGGAGAGATGGCGGTGCAGTAGGAAGCTTTAAACTGCCGTTGAATATCTAAGTTACTGTGCCATTACGGTAAGCTATCAGCACTGGTATCCCCCTCCACCCCCCCTCCTCTTGAATTAATTAATCACGTAGAGGAGTTGAAGTTATATACCAGAGACAAAATTCATCAGTTTGCCAATCAGGTGCTTAGATTTCCAGCATTGTTTGCCCATACTTGGCCCATATATCCAAACTGGCCACAATGCCCGACCTCAAACAGGCCGCGCGTATCATAAGTAGCACTTGGCCGTACCGTACAGCGCCAGGGCAAACCCCGGAAAGGGAGAAAAGCTGGGTAAACCAACCACCACTTAAGCCAGCCAAAGGACAGTACCGCGCGATACTCACAGGAAAGTCCAATTTAGCCAAGGCACCCCGCAGCCGTTTCACCCCTCTTTTCTTTTCTTCCCCTCATTTCATTTCATTTCTTCTCCCCTTCCTCGCCCTACTTTCCCCTGATCTGTCCGTCCGTGCATCTTGCGTCGCGGGGTCGGCGTGGCGAGGTGGGGGCGGTTAAATTCGATCTCCACTCCCATTTATGTGGACGACGTTGAAGATAATGATGAAGGGTTCGGATATGTATGCGAGGAGGATCAAGGGCACCGCACCGGTAAGCAAGGATTGGAATGGGGATGAGGTGTTTACCCCATGGGGTGATTTTGGTCTTGTCAAGCGGGCGAGTCGGGGGGAGGTGCCGGGGGAGGGGGGGTAATTGGGGCTTTTTATTTTATTTTTCCTTAGCTAAGTTTGTTGTTCACGGGTCTAGGAACGCAATCCTATTGTATGGTAGAGGGGAGGTGTCTTTGTTTTTTTCTAGAGTGGAGTCATGGGGCGTCACTCGTGGGTTCTTGACCGTCTTGAGTGGTTTGTGGGGAGGGGGGGGGAGGCTGAAGCCGATCTGAGCGAGTTGTGTTTTATTTATCTGGGGAATCTTGTGGCATCGATCGGTTGACTTATGGTTCTCTACCGTATCATAGCGATGCCTGATTGACCAAGACAACGGGGCTCGATACGGTATCATACAGTACTGTACAGAGCAGAACAACGCGGGAGAGGAGATGAACGCAAGGCTCCTCACGATCGGCTGAAATGCGCCCGCCGTATGACACGATATTTGTAACTGTGACTATAACCTAGTGAGGTATTTGTACCCCCACCGCTCTCGCGGGACTCCACTACGCGTCACCATCATGTACTCTCACTCTGCGAGTACAGTGCTACGCCAAGAGTGCGCGTGTGTTTTCTTCAGGATTGTTATGATATGGTTCTCCTCCTTCTCCTCCTCCGATCAGTTCGACCTTTAGTGTAGTGTCCGGGATGAACCTAACCTTCCTCGTCTTTTGAGGGTTTTTTCTCTCTTTTTTCATTTTTCTCATTGTATGGTCACTTAATACCTTTTATATAGCCTTTCCCCCCCTTTTTTTGGGGGGGAGGCTAGGTGGGGGGCTTTCCTAAGCTCTCGAGCTGATGAGCTAATGGTAGGAATACCGTACTAGTACGGTGGAAGGGAAGGGGGGGGGGTGGGGGTTTTTTCAAAATGGTAGTACAGATTTGCGGTTGTGCTTGCGGCAGGTGAGTTGCAGGTAGCAATCACCAAGTACCGACCGGTACCCGAGCATAAGGATCAAAAATGTATGGCAAATTGTCCTGCGCCATCCGAGTGCCCACACTAAATTCGGATTCAAGTCGGAATTTATTTTCCCTCCCTACGAGTACGGAACGGTGCTCTGATGTTGGGGTAGTTCATATTTGGTATGATACTTGCAAGCAAGTGGTGAAGGGGGAGGGGGGGTGGAGGGGGCGTACTATACAGTACTCTATTGAACAGCGCCGACTTATTTATTTTCCCCCGACTGACCGCCCGACCGACTAGGTGGGAGAGGGAGAGTAAGTAAGAAAGAAAGAGAAAAATACACCGGTTGGACTGTCGCGTTGGACAAGCTATGATAGATAGATATGTATCGATCACGCACATTGATGTCCCCATCGCGGCTTTCTTGCTTTCAAAATATTATTATATCATACCATCGAATTCCCGAAAACAGGCGCATCCCGCAAGAGAAAAAGAAAAAAAAAGGCGCAACCCATCATCATACCTAAAACTTGGTCCGGACAATTAAAAAAAAAAACAATAAATTTAATAACCTTAGATAATCAATTCTCCTCCCCCCCCCCCCCACCCCTTCCCCCCAAAACCAAGCTTTTTGAAATTAAGGCTCGCGCGCCTTAATTCGAGAATTTCTGCGGGGCAGGAACGCACCCCATGTGTGTTACTTGCTTGTACTGTCTGTACTGTACTCGCACTGAACTGTACTGAACACGCTATCACGGCCCTGCACTCGGCTCGCCGGACAATACTCCGGGACACACGTATACACACACATACACACACACACACATACACACACACACACACACCTCGGGACTAAGTTATGACGAGAGGGACTGAGAATCTACCGTCCGCAAACTGGTAGAGTGCTTTATGCTGTGACGATCAGAGCTCACGAGGTATCATACAGCAGCAGCTTAGCCATTGTTACTGTTCCAGACTCCGAATGCAGGGATTTTCTATATATACTATACTGTACACTCTACTGCGGAGTACGGTGTGCAGTTTGTGGATATTGTAAATCTCTTGTAATTCACTATCTCCGGTAGGCCGCTAATCTCCTCGGGGACCAGAGACGAAAGATCCCCCTCCCCCCCTTCCCCGGGGCGGGAAATGAACGGTCAGGGCGTTTCCTGGCAATGGTTGTTTATGTTCTGAGACCCTCCCCTCTGGACTCGTTGGATCTCATTAACTGGCTATTGGCAATTGTGTCGACCTGTCAAACCGAACTTGTCGTGGGTTGATGTGGTGATTTTCCGCTAGTAATCTGGTAGCGAAATCCAAGAGATCTTAGGGTAACTCATACTCTCCGCAAAGTTCTCGCAACAGCTCTGGTACCCCATTATTAACAGCCCCAGCCTAAGATAGCAAGACGGGGACTCTCCCTCGAGAGACCTCTTTTAATTTGGTAACCACAAATTCCATAAAGAATTTTCACACCTTCCCCCCCCCCCCCCCAGTACATAACTTCTGCAATCTCCTAGTGAGAAACTGGAGAGACTTGGTGGTACATCAGAGGTTACGAGAATTTTGCGGAAGCGAGTGTACTAGCACTGTACTGCACCACCACTGCCAAGCCCAGATTACCACCATAATATTATCATTATTATTATTATTATACCAGGACTGGCTCGTCTCTGTAAACCCCGCTTAGCAATTACTGGCGCCGGGGAGTGGACACTTTACCGTAGGGCGCGGGGATGGATTAGGGGGGGGGGCCACAGCAGGGGCCGTGTGGGGCCCCGACATACCCAGACTACGACAATAATATCATTATTATGATAAGTTACTGTAAGAACCCTTCGCACCCGGTTTCTCCCCACCATATCATTCTTCCAAGCCGCGGTATCCCGGCGAGAGGCGAAGAGAACTGTCGAAGCAAGGTAAACCCCAGATTCGCCGAATCCCCCCCCTACCCATACTATACCATATCAAATCAAACCGAAGCAGATTAAGCTTTCCACCATGACGTTGAAACAACCTACCTTCCCCCTTCCCCTTCCCCTTCTCCCCCCTTCTACCTCTCCTCCCTCCTCTCCCGAAACCCAGCCACAAGTCATGTGGTTGAAACTCTACCTGCTTACGGGGCCCGAACAAGATATTTGTAGTAGTGTGGCAGACCTTTAACCAAAAAAATTTGTCAGGCCTGAACGGCGACATACTCGAGTACTTCCGCCTTACCCGCTAGCGAAAGTAGTACAAGTGCTCTCCGCTATTCAAAGTAAGGATGCAAGAGGGG